ACATTTGCAGAAGGCACGCAGGACTGGGGCAGTGGTGTATTTACCAGCTCCTGGACCCCCCAGGACAAGAGGTTGCAAGGCATTTGCCATGGGCGGCACTTTCAGGGGAGATCCAAAAAAAGCCGCCCCCCCCCCAAACTCCCCGGCAGATGCCATTTCAGCCTCTTGTCCTGGAGGGCCCAGGAGCTGGTTGGCTGGTCTGATGGTGAGAGTCTGTGTGTCTCTGTTAGTGAGAGTGTGTGTGTCTATTAGTGATTGTCAGTGTGTGTATGTTAGTAAGTGTTAGTGTTTGTGTGTCTGTTAGTTAGAGTGTGTGTGTCAGTGAGAGAGTGTGTGTGTGTGTGTGTGTGTGTGTGTGTGTGTCTGTTAGTGAGAGTGTGTGTCTCTGTTAGTGAGAGTGTGTCTGTTGGTGAGTGTGCTAGTGTGTCTGTGTCTGTTAGTGAGAGTGTGTGTGTCTGTTAGTGAGTGTGTTAGTGTGTGTGTCTGTTGGTGAGTGTGTTTATTTGTCTGTGTCTGTTAGTGAGAGTGTGTGTGTCATTGAGAGTGTGTATGTCTGTCAGTGTGTGTATGCGTGTCTGTCACTGAGAGTGTGTATCTGTCAGTAAATGTGTATGCCTGTTAGCGAATGTGGGTGTGTGACACTGAGTGTATATGTGTCTGTCAGTGTGTGTGTATATGTGTTTGTCAGTGTGTGTCTGTCAGTGAGTGTGTATGTGTCTTGTCAGTGAGTGTGTATGTATATCTGTCAGTCAATGAATGCGTGTGTCAGTTAGTGTGTCTGTCGACGGATGTGTGTGTCTGTCAGTAAATATGAGGGTGCATGTCTGTCTATCTGTCAGTGAGTGTGTATGTTTCAGTGAAAATTTGTGTTGGTTAAACAGTGTGTGTGATAATGACTGTGTATCTTTTAGTGAGTGTATGTCAGTATGTCAGTATGCATCAGTGAAGGAGTGTGTCTGTCAGGCAAAGAGTATGCTGGTTTTTAACAGGAAGTAAAATGTAGATGGGGAGGTCTTAGTTTTGTCATGCCTCGGCAGCACAAAACCAGAATACACCACTGGGCTGGGGGAAACATTTCCAGAAGGCACACAGTGCTGGGAGGGGGATGTTTCCAGAAGGTACACAGTGCTGGGACTGGGGGGACGGGGACGTTTCCAGAAGGTACACAGTGCTGGTACTGTGGGGAAACATTTACAGAAGGCACACAGGGCTGAGATTGGGGGAAGCATTTCCAGGAGGCACACAGTGCTAGGATTGGAGAAACATTTTCAGATGGCTCACAGTGGTGGGATTGGGGGGAAACGTTTTAGAAGGCCTTCCACTCTTTGCTTATTTTCAACTCTGCCATTATGTAAATTTAGTTATTATAGACTTTACCGGCACAGATTAGACTAATCCTCTCGACTACCTTCACCACCCAATTCTGCCTATTCGACTTTCACACTAAATCCCCTCTTACACTTCACTCCTAATTTGGAGACTATCAAGACATTACCAAATGTTTTGAATGTTTAACTGATCACTCAGATATGTATCATTGTTTAGAGGATGTTCTGTGGTTGAAGATTTCTTGCCCAACATTATTTTACTACCCACACACTGCCCCATCTTCGTTTAAAACTTGAATTTCTGATGCAATGTCACATCCCAAACCAACATTACTTTAACAATGGAACTCGCTGTGGAACTCACTTCCCTCCTCCGTTAGATGCCCACCCAGTCTCCACTCCTTCAAAAAATCGTTAAAAACCCACTTCTTCATAAAAGCGTATCAATTAAACTGTTATTAGCTCCCGACTGATTCCTCTTCTGCAACTGTCGCTAGTTTAATACTATCCTTAGCTTTTTGTGTCATATTATCCCACTCCCTCTAACGTGTAAGCTCATTGAGCAGGGCCCTCAACCCCTCTGTTCCTGTGTGTCAAACTTGTCTGGTTACAACTACATGTCTGTTCGTCCACCCATTGTAAAGCGCTGCGGAATTGACGGCGCTCTATAGATATTATAATAATAATAATAACAAAACATCCACCATGATTTTACCTGCAGTAAACCAGATAACTATATTGCATGACTTGAGAAAACTGCAAAAAAAATTTACAAATCATATTTTAAATGTTAAACACAATGTCCTTAGTCTTTAACTTTTAAAAAGGAGATTCATAATTACTAATAGAGAAAAAATATAAATAATTTTGTTATATTTCTTTCTACATAAACTCCCAACACATATTTATACATTGCATAGAATAATAAATGAGAGGGTTCTATATCCATGATAGGAATTAATCAAAATCAAATCATTTGTATCTTCGCAAAATTGGATTTTAACAATATCACATAAGTAACTTTACTTTTAATTGCTTTTATTCCATCACTAATTTACTCAATGATTGAGAAATGCCTAAACTATTTAACATCGCATAGATCCCAACAATCGGAGTTTGTTACAATTTTTTCCACTCTGGGTTTTGCAGTGAATACAACTTCATTCTAATACAATCTGCATAGTGATTTATATGTAGACCGTGTACCAGATGTGTTCATCATATTAATATTATTTATGTAATCTTATGTATTTAATAAATATTCTGGACCTCTGAATCCGTTGCATTTAAAACCTTTAAAACTGACACAAATATATTTCAGGTTTAAAAATGTAAATTATTTTTTTGCTATTTACTGAAGATCTCATTAGTATCATTTTAATTAGCCATGTTCATTGTTACAGATGGTTGAGATGGTAAGAATAATGTATCTTCCTTCACTGTACCACAAATTGCAGACAAATGTAACCATTACTGGGAGATGATTACTACTATTGTGCAAGTGAGGTTTGTAAAATAAATCAGGATGAAACGTTGATTGATGCTCAGATTCATTCTTCTACCTGGAGTCTTGCAGCGGAATTCAGTAATCTATCCATATACCAAGCCATCCTTTCTGCACTGCCTACGGGCACCGGGAGGTTACAGTTATCATAGTGCAAGCGAGAGACTACACATGTGGCTCCATTTTTATTGCTTTATCTGACTTTATCAGCTTAATATATTTTAATATAAGTACAAACTCAAGTGATTCAGTGACATGTGCCACAGATCGCTACAATCCACCTCCAGTGCCCACAGCCATTCAGGATTTAGTGATTTCTGACACCTGGATCTATTGATTAAACCTACAGTATCGGTTTTTATGAGAACCAGTTTGAGAGCCATGATTTTAATTGGGTTCCTAATCTCATTCTGTCACATGCATCAGCTAACAGGAACTAACTAACAGCATTACGAAATATATATGAATAAAATATGAAAAAAGTATACTGTCTGTTCTGAGACTCCTATGATTGGTTAAAGGACCACTCTAGGCACCCAGACCACTTCAGCTTTATGAAGTGGTCTGGGTGCCAGGTACCTCTAGGATTAACCCTTTTTTTTATAAACATAGCAGTTTCAGAGAAACTGCTATGTTTATACTGAGGGTTAATTCAGCCTCCAGAGCCTCTAGTGGCTGTCTCATTGACAGCTGCTAGAGGCGCTTGCGTGCTTCTCACTGTGAAAATCACAGTGAGAGCACGCAAGCGTCCATAGCAAAGCATTGTAAATGCTTTCCTATGCAACCGGCTGAATGCGCGCGCGGCTCCTGCCGCGCATGCGCATTCAGCCAATGACGTCGCGAGCAAGGAGGAGAGGAGGAGTACAGCTCCCCGCCCGGCGCTGGAGAAAGGTAAGTGTCTAACCCCTTCCTCTCTCCAGAGCCCGGCGGGAGGGGGTCCCTGAGGGTGGGGGCACCCTCAGGGCACTATAGTGCCAGGAAAACGAGTATGTTTTCCTGGCACTATAGTGGTCCTTTAATGTTGCTGTTGATGATGAATACACCCCTAGACAAACTGTGTTTTATATATACAGTGTACTGCATTAAAACCTTTGAATGCTTATTGATACTCCATCTGAAATGGTGTGACTTCTTTGAGTATTCCCAGCAGCTGATTACAGAGACAAAGGAAAGGAGAAATGTGTTAGTGCATAAGTCCATGGCAACATAAGGGTTTCCAGACCCTGTGATTTTTTTTAAAGCCTAACACCGGTAAAATCCCAGGAGCACCTGGTAGACATACACTAGAGGCTGCCTTAGTCCTGCAATGTAATTATTGCAGTTTCTCTAAAGCTGCAGTGATTTACATTGCAGGACTAAGGGGGCAGATACTGCACCCAGACTATTTCAATGAGCCAAAGTGGTCTGGGTGCCTATAGTGTCCCTTGAAGCCAAATGTGAAAGAGGTTAAATTTCATTTAATTGGAGATGGCACCATATCATTTAAAATCCACAGCTAATCATTACTCGTAATAGTGATAATTTTGTACATGACATGCATGGGTACTTCGTTGCCATGACAAATTTATAAAAAAAATAGTGGAGCGCTATATATTTAGTGTCAAAACATTCCGTGTATATATATATACACCATAAAAACACTTAGCTCAATTTTCTCTTTTGAGCTACTTCAATTATAGTGTATATCCCTTTAAACAGAAATATAAAGTGCAATAGTGTAAAAACTTTTAAAACAGTCTTAAATACATGAATTTCCAATTTAACACTCACAATTTCCAGAGCTATATAACCTAGCTCTGATGTGTATCGCTGATATGTCCGTTTTGGGCGACCACTCCCCTCGTTGGTGCAGTAGTTATGATGGTGACTTTTTTCTTCCTTATTTATCTCAGGGTAAAAAAAGATACAAAAGGATATTGTAGATCCATTTACACCTTAGTATATTAGGTAGATGGTAATTATCATACTCACAAACATAGAGTCTGCATGCTGGCTCAGGAAAGATGCTTAGTGGGGTTCAGGACCACACGTCCTTCTTTAAAAGTGCTGGAGACCAAATAGTTTAAAAAAAGCTTTATTTCAATTTAAACATTAGTATATTCTAAAAAACAATAAAAATGTTATTAACCCCTTAAGGACACATGACATGTGTGACATGTCATGATTCCCTTTTATTCCAGAAGTTTGGTCCTTAAGGGCTTAAATACCAAATCATGTAGTAGAGTCTATTACTAGCAGTCCAGAAACGCATTTCGCCGTCTTGTGGCTTCCTCAGTCTGGTTTGATAAGACTCCTTTGTTCTCCATGCTGCCTTTTATACCTTGTCTGTTCGTTGTAAACTCCTCCAGCTGATTTTCATTGCTTCTACTTCCTTCTTCCCAGTCGACTGTGTGTTTCAAGCCTCTCTCTAAATCTCTCATTTCATATGACGTCACTTCCGGTTTTACTTGCGTTGCGTCACTTCCAATTTCGTCTGAGAGGGCGTAGAGTTTTAACCCTCTATGGTATTTGCTCCATCTTGCACACTGATATCAGGAAGTGTCCTAAATATGTCTAATGCATAGCCCGCATCATAGATGCTCATTTAAATTCAATACAGAAAAAAGACAAATGTAAGAATAATTTTAAACCAACAATTATTAGCTTTCATTATCTATTTGTATATATAAGAATTATTCCTTCATAATTCATACATTTAATGTTATGGAGTATGTAGTTAATTTAAAAAAAAGAAGGAATCTTTTGTTATGAAAACAATTAATATAATAAACAATAAATATTACTTTTTTGCATACTTTTCATTTCTTGTGAGATAAACACATGTTCTTTACACCTTAATAGCCCGTAATTTGTGCTTTTAGTGCAAAATAATAAAAAAAAGATATAGAGTGATTATCCTTTAAAATTCCGAACTCGAAGAATCCTTTATTTTTTCTTTGAAATGTACCCTACATAAATGTGAATCAAATGACCTATTATTTCTATGAAAAAACGTGTTTTAAAAACTGAATAAGATGTCGTTCCTATATTTAAAAAGGGTTCAAAATCCTTGCCTGGAAATTACAGACCTGTGAGCTTAACTTCTGTGACTGGGAAAATATTTGAAGGGCTATTAAACGATACTATTCAGGAATTCATTGAAAAGAACATTATTTTTTTTTGCAATAATCAGCATGGTTTTATGAAGTACAGGTCATACCAAACTAACCTAATTGCATTCTACAAAGAAGTAAGTAGAAGTATAGATCAGGGTATTGCAATGGATGTGATCTACTTGGATTTTGCCAAGGCATTTGATTCACAATAGGTTAGTCTTTAAACTAAAAGAAATCGGTCTAGATCAGGGCTGGCAACCTTCGTCACTCCAGATGTTGTGGACTACATCCCCATAAACTCTCACACCCAAAATGCTAGCAAAGCATCATGGAAGGTGTAGTCCAAAACATCTGGAGTGCCTCGTCTAGATGAATATTCTTGTCCTTGGGTAGAACATTGGCTTAAGGATAGAGTAGAACGAGTTGTCATTAATGGTCAATTTTCAAGCGGGACAAAAGTGGTAAGTGGTGTCCCTCAGGGTTCTGTTTTGGGAACGCTTCTATTTATCATATTTATAAATGATCTTGAAATAGGTATTGAAAGCCATGTATCAGTGTTTGCAGATGACACAAAACTTTGTAAAGTAATAAAATGTGAGCAGGATATTGCTTTGCTGCAGAGGGATTTGGATAGATTGGGGGACTGGGCACTCAAATGGCAGATGAAATTTAATGTAGAGAAATGCAAGTTATGCACTTCGGGGTCAAGAATGCACAAGCAACTTACACCCTAAATGGTAGTGAATTGGATAAATACTTGCAAAAACCTAACATACAGGGATATAATTTCTAATTAGTGGGGTAATAGCTGCTTGATCCAAGGAGACATCTGACTGCTATTTTGGGGCCAAGAAGGAATTTTTTCCTAGTTTGTTGCAAAATGTAAAGTGCTTCAGACTGGCTTTTTTGCCTTATTTTGGATCAACAGCAAAAACAAATGTGAGGAAGGCTGAACTTGATGGACGCAAGTCTCTTTTCAGCTATGTAACTATGTAACTATGTAACTATGAATAGAAAGTGGCTTAAATATAATAATGTTATGAATCCGTTATTTTAAAAAAATTACATATTTCAAAGTCACTGTTAAGACCATATTGAATCATTGTATTTTAAGTGAAAATCCATTCCATTTCTGGTTTTCCTATAATTTTGTTAAAATCTCCTCCGCTCAAATCTTTCCGTATTTTTTTTTTTTATTCCTATGAACTTCATATTTCTGAGGTTATTTCCATGATGAATTTTGAAATGGTGTGATACGCTATGATTTTTCTATCCTTTTTGGACGTTTCTTACATGTTCTTCAACACGTGAATTTAGTGGTCTTGTCGTTCTGCCTACTTATTTAAATCCACATGGGCATATTCATATTCATTCATGTCTCTTTCAATAAAACTATTAGTATCCACTGGTTTAAAATAATTTTCTGTTTTTAAAAATCCATTTTCTATAAAAATATTCAGATCTAAAAATACCACTTCATTCTTACTCCACACACTATTGAGTTTTATACCACATGAATTGTTAATTAAAAATGTCAAAAATTCCATTAGCTGTTCTTCAGAACCCGTCCATATAAAAATACATCATTTATGTATCGGCCATAGGAGTGGTCGCCCAAAATGGACCAACAAGCGATTCACACCAGAGCTACGTCATATAGCTCTGGAAATTGTGAGTGTTAAATTGTCAATTCATATATTTAAGACTGTTTTAAAGGTTTTTACACTATTGCACTTTATATTTCTGTTTAAAGGGATATACGCTTTAATTGAAGTTGCTCAAAAGAGAAAATGAAGCTAAGTGTTTTTATGGTGTATATATATATATATATATATACACGGAATGTTTTGACACTAAATATATAGCGCTCCACTATTTTTTTGAAATTTGTCACATTGTTGTGTGTTTGTGGCAGAATTACACATTTAGTGTAGTAGCTGCTGTTTTTATAAGAAATACTATATGAGAACATTGCAAAGAAAGTTACTTACAAATCTCTTGATCGAATCACACACATCATTAACCATTTGTAACTTTGTTACTGTGGTTATAAGACGTTCGATTTTCTGTAACCAAGTAGGCCAAAGCGGACCTTATTGCTGTAGATTCTCTATTTCTCAACTGACAGCTGTTACATCATTCCTCTGCCTTGATGTTCGATCTTCTGACTGTCTAACTGGAACATTGAGCGGAGGAATTCCTAAAAGTTCCTTCAGAGAAGTATTACTACCTTAAAAAGCTATCGATTTGTAGCCGTGTTCAGTAATTACTGGATAGCTAGACAGCTGCTGATGGCTGCATTGCTGGATCCTGAGATATTCACTATTTCGGGATCACATAATTTAGCTCATATGATGCTCTCAACTTCATCATTATATCCAGGCTTGCGTGAGTGAACATTGTAATGAGATTTTATGTAATGCAATTATATCTCACCAGGTACAGTGAGTCTATTACAGTGTGTCGCTTAAAGCTTGTTTTCTGGTCTCTTGTCTTTTTTATCTTTCAGCAAATCTCTTAACCCCTTGTGCATTGGCCACCCCTCACCCTCAAACAAGTAATGTCTAATGTGTCAACAGAAATTAACTGTTTTAGGTTTATACTTTACGTTCGTGATATTTATAGAAACAATGAAAATGATGGTTTTCCTTCATTTTTATCAGCGCCTGAACGTTAGATTTTTTCTTAAAGAAAATACACAGCCAAGACAATGGAAATCTGTTTGTTATAAATGATTTTATATTTATTTTTTATTAGAGAAAATATAGAAAAAACAAAATTCAAAGATAAAGAAAAAAATCTCAAAGGTTTGTACTTAAAGCGGCACTGTCATGCCGAACTTACCTTTCCTCAATCTCTTCCTCTTCTCCCCCTCTCTCGGGAATTGTTATTCTTTTCTTCCTGTCTTCTTTAGTTTTCTTTAAAATCATAAGACAAAGTAGGGACTCTTTGCCTTATGGAGGATTCCTCCGCTTGACCAGCTCTGACCAGCGGAGGAGCAAAGTGTGCTTCATTTCCGCTGGTCAGAGCAATTTTCCCATGATCCCTAGCTTTCCTCTGTGTTCCCGCGATGCTTCCTGTCACTTTACACAAAACTGCCGAATTGCGTTCTAACTGAATGAGAACAGTATGTTCGTTTCTTTTAGAACGCAATTCGGCACTTTATTCAGATCGGATTTTCATTCAAATGAATGAAACTCTGATCCTATTCATTGCTGTGGCTGCATCTTGCAGCCGTTTAGTAGATAACTCCCTAATTCCCACGGTATCAGGGAGCTATCTACTAAAAGGCTGAAAGACCTAAATTGGTCTAACAGCCAACTTTACTAATACTAAGTAAAGATTACTTAGTATCAGTAAATAATATGCCCCTACTCGCTATACCGCGAGTAGGGGCATGTCTGGTAAACAGTGAGCAGCCTGTGGCTGCTCACTGTCAAAAAACAAACAAAAAACTATTGGCCCCCACCCCTAAACGACGGGTGGGGGCCCTAAAGTAAAATAAGGGGGGAGACCTAATGTCGTCGTCCCCCGGCCCCCACCCCTGGGCGGCAGGTGGGGGCCATAGTGAGAATGAGGGGGGGGACCTACTGCCCCCCCCTGGCCCCCACCCCTGGGCGGTGGGTGGGGGCCATAATGATTATGAGGGGGGGGACCTACTGCCCCCCCCTGCCCCCACCCCTGGGCAGCAGGTGGGGGCCATAGTGAGAATGAGGGGGGGGACCTACTCCCCCCCCCGCGGCCCCCACCCCTGGGCGGTGGGTGGGGGCCATAGTGAGAATGAAGGGGGGGACCTACTGCCCCCTCCGCCCCCACCCCTGGGCGGCGGGTGGGGGCCATAATGAGAATAGGGGGGGACCTACTGCCCCCCCCGGCCCCCACCCCTGGGCGGCGGGTGGGGGCAATAATGAGGGGGGGACCTAATGCCCCCCCCGGCCCCCACCCCTGGGCGGCGGGTGGGGGCCATGAAGATAATGAGGGGGGGACCTACTGTCCTCCCCCCCCGGCCCCCACCCCTGGGCGGCGGGTGGGGGCCCTTAGTCAATTACCCCCCCCACCAAGGTGACTAGGGGTCCCCAAGCCCCTAGTCACCCACCCCCCACCCAAAAAAAAGTCCCTACCTACCCCCCTCACCCTAAAAAATAGTGAGGGGGGGATAAAATAACTAACCTGTAAAATAAAATTAAACTTACCATTCGATGTCTTCTTTTTTCTCAAATCTTAATTTTTCAGCCCCCAAAAAGGCCAAATAAAAAAACCATCATAACCGTCGAATTG